CCCAGCCCCAAGCCGCTCCTCCAGGTTGACTGCAGGCTACAAATAAAACCAAGCAGGACCCTTTAAAGCTCCTGTGTGAAAATCTCATTTACCTAATGACTGTGTCACCTAGGAAGAAGGTCAGGTTCCTCTTACCCTTGCCCCCGCTGCTGCAGTGAGCGTGCTTCCCTAATCAGTGGGGGCTGGAAGAATCAATTCCCACTTTACGAGCGCTGACAAACTCAAGCTCGGGGCGGTGCTAGCGCGGGGCTCTCCCGGGCGGTGACGGGGCTCCGGGGCTCCGGGGTGCAGCCGGCTCCGCCCGGCGCCCGCCTGGCTGCTTTCTCCGGCGTTGAGCTGGGGACCTGGGGGACCTCGGGGACGTCCCTCCCGGCCGGGCCGCCGGCGCGACCTCGGAGTCGTCGCTAACCGGAACCTGACGCTCAGCAGAGCTCTCGCCGGCTCCCCGGCCGCGGGGGCCGCCCCACCTCGCCCCGCCCGGCGCTCTCGGTTCCGGGGTGCAGGTGGGGATGGCCCGGCCCGCGGGAGCGTGCGCGTGTGTGTGCTGTGTGTGTGTGTATGTGTGTGTGTGACATTTAAATTTTAAAAATTATTTTGTCTGCTTCAGTGCAGATCTCTCCACTCTTTCCTTCGGTCTCAGGCTGGCTAACTTTGCATAAACAAAGCAACAACAGCAGCCCTTGGGTGGGTGAAGGAAATCTCAACTCCCTCCCCCTTCCTCTTTCTCCCTCCTCCTCTCTCCCCTTTCCAGCACCTCTTTTTTCTTCTTCCTCCTTTTACTTCCTCCTCCTCCACTTTGCCCCACAACACTGGGCTGTCCTAAGAGGTTTATCAGGTACCACTTGGCCCCTATTTAAGTTCCTCAACTTTCCCGGATCTGAGGAAATTATCGGTCAAATTATTATGATGGGGCCAATTTGAAAGCTAACTTGGGGCTAAGTTCACGAGTCTTTATCTTCCTAGGGTCTAAATACAAGCCTCCAACTCCTTCCAAAGGCTCCTAAAGTAAAAGTTGGCTTTTCTAGATACAAGGTCTGTGCGAAGAGGGATCTCTGACGCTGGGTCACTACTGGGTAAGTGAAATTCTTTCCTCTTTTTCCACCCTAGCCCCTAGCCCCCCACTGCCAAGACGTGAGCTGCTGGCTATTATCAAACAATTTTAAAAGCCCTGCTTAGCTAGGATTTAGTGTCAGTAAAGTCACTTTTCTTGGAAAAAGCTGTCCTGTGTGCAAGTTTTTTTTTGTTGTTGTTGTCTGAGATTTCTTTGAGGACTCAATCTCTCCGAACTGTACTGAGCAGCTAGTTACAGCTGAGCCCCAAACTGAACTTTCTCTCCTGAGGCTGTTCTCATGGGCCTGCCTTGCCTATGGTGATAATCCTTGGAAAGGTAACTTAAATCACAGTGCCTCATTACTTGTGGGCAGATAGTCTACTAACATTTCAAAGTTTTTTCAAACAATCAAATGGAGATGTGACTCTTACATCTTTTATCCCCTCATCTGGTGTAAAAAATAAACAGAAAATGTGTATGAGTTCAAGGTGAGTCACTGTTCATCTTCAAAGGTCTCTTAAATCCCGAGGAAGCCATCACTCCCAAGCCTGAAACAGGTAGGTTCCCTTTTGCCTTGGACCTGAAGATGCCAGACACGTAGCCACCCAGAGGCAGGGAGAACAGTCAGGCTGTGGGCCTGACCTGGGCTGGGAGGCACCTTGTTCCCAGGATCGTAACTTCATCTTGCCAGGAAGTCCTTCTGCAAGTCTTGCTGAGTTAGATTCCAGATTTCAATGGGCACAGAAGGCTGGGGAAGCCCAGAATCACAGTTCATAACACTTTGGCTTTTAGAAGATTTGCTTCATATTTCCTAATGCTGAGTTAGAGACCTCTTAGGGCTATAACCTGTCTGTAGGCCAGGAAGTCTTGTCAGGGAAGTTTCCGATCAGGAGGAGTCCTGGGTGGGGCTTTTATCTCTATTTGACAGAGGAGCAGACAGACTGGGAATGGGCCTCTTGACCTCAGATAATTACTCCAGCCTTCCTTCTTAAGCAAATTTAATTCTCACATGATGAGTAATTAACAACCTGTGACTACTCACTCTATGAGAATTTCCTTTTTTTTTTTTATCATAAGGGCCCTTATATTAAAGGATAAGCTTAGTACTAGTTTTTAGTTGCATTTAAACATCTTGCATCCTTCCCCCTTCTCCAGTCTGCTGGAACACATCTGGCACAGGCTTGGTCTGTGCTGTAACTCAGTGTGTGAAATCAGAGAATCCAATAATCAGTTTGCTCCCCTTCCTACATTCCACTCCTGAGCCTAACAGAGCTATAGAATGCTCCTCCATCCATGTGGGCACATTGTAAGCCCCCGAGTGGAAGTCTGAAACTGAAGATACCATAGTACTGAATACTATACATACAGAACTATGTTTTTCCCTGTACATCTATATCTGTAACAAAGTTTAATTTATATATTAGGCATAGTAAGAGTAATAATAATAGTAAATACTATGGCTATAACAATATGCTATAATAAAAATGTATAAACTTAGGAATTGTTTAGTTCCTGAATTTTTTACTTAATATCTTCAGGTTGTGATTGATTATGGATACCTGAAGCTTCAGAAAGTAAAATATTAACCAAGAAGATATTACTGTGGACTAGACTTCTCTCTGGAAAAAGAAAGTCCTTTGATTTTCCTTAATTTGGAAGCCATGTTAGAAGAAACCAATTACTTTGTTAGTGACAAAAATGTTGTTCTATTTCTTTGTCTACAAACTTTGTCCATTCCAGTGACTCATTCAGGGCAAGAAATCAAAATTACATGCCAGTATATGAGACAGAGTACTGGGAAAAAACAAATGGACACACAGGGCACTAGCTTTTCAAAGATGGTCCCCATGTCTACCAGGCTCATGTCCTAAGTGAAGAGATACGTTATTCAAACATCAGTATTGGAGAAGGTTGAATCAGATCACCTCAGTGGCTGTTAGTGACAGACAGAAAAACCTTAGAAAGACAGGAAGGAACTTCAGGGGCTGAGGGACATTCAGGATCCCAAGCTCCAGAGCCTGACAAGAAGAGGCTGCGCCCTGGTATGACCTGTGATAATTGTACCGTGATACTTTTGCTTAAGTTACCTAACCTGTTTTTTTTTTTCCATCCTTGAGACATAATATTTGTACATCTTTATAGGGTTCAGTATGATGATTTGATACATATCTCTAGTGTGTAATGAAGAAATCAGGGTAATAGGTATATCCATCTCATCCAACATTAATTGTTTCTACATGCTGGAAACATTTATACTCTCCTAGTTACTTTGAAATATATCTTAGTATGACCAACAGTTACCTCACTGTGGTATAGAAAACCAAAATGACTTCCACTTATCTGTAGTTTGGCTCTCCTTGTCTACTTTCTTTGCATTCTCTCTCATCCCTGTCCCTCCTAATCTCTAGTGACTGTCATTCTACTCCATTGTCCTGTGCGATTAACTTTTTTTTCTTTGTTTTCACAAATGTGTGAAAACACGGTATTTGTCTTTATATGTCTGGCTTTTCACTTAATGTAATGACCTCCAGTTCCATCTGTGTTTCTATAAAGGGCAGGGTTTCATGTTTTTATGGCAGAATAATATTCCATTGTGTATGTACAACACATTTTCCTCATCCATCTACTCATTAATAGGTACCTTGGTTTATTCTCCATTTTGGCTATTGGGAACAGTGCTGCAATAAATATAGGAGTGCAGATGTCTCTTTAAAATAGTGATTTCATACCTTCAGATGCATAACCAGTGGTGGAATTGCCAGATCATATGGTAGTTCTATCTTTATTTTTAAAGGAATCTTCATAATTTTTCCATAATGCCTGTAATAATTTTTATTCCTACCAACAGTGTATAAGTGTTTCTCTTTCTCTGAATCTCCCCAGAATTTGTTATTTTTTA